TATGATAAAAAAAATTATAATAGTGGAATTCAATATCACTATTGTAAAAAGTTTGGTCACATGAAGGCAGATTACTGAAAAAGAGAAAAACAAGCAAGCTATGTGGAGGAAAATGAAGAAAATAGTAAGTTATTTATGACTCATTCATAAGTTCATGATATCTCAAATGATATTTGGTTTCTGGATAGTGGATGTTCTAATCATATATCAGACATAAAATCAATATTTAGAGATATTGATGAAACTCACAAGTTGAAAGTTAGACTTGGAGATAATAAGCAAATTCAAGTGTAAGGGAAAGAAACAATTGAGGTGAAGACAAATCAAGGGAAGGTAAAATACCTTGATAATGTTATCTTTGTTCCTACTTTATCACATAACTTGTTGAGTATTAGATAATTGATAGATGATGGATATTCAGTAATATTTGATGACAGTTCATACACTATTAAAGATAAAAAAATTGGTTTGATTATAGTAAATATTTGCATGACGCAAAACAAGATGTTTCTACTTAATGTGTCAAATATTGAGAGGCATGTGCTTATCGCAACTCAAAACAATAAGTCTAATTTATGACATTTAAGATATGGACACCTTAATATTAAGGGTTTAAGGTTGTTAAGTCAAAAAGGAATGATTTTCGGATTACCCAAGATTAATACACTTGATGTATGTGAATGATGCATTTATGACAAACAAAGTAAAAAACCATATCCTATTGGAAAAGCATGATTAATTGCAAAGCTACAGTAACACCCATGAATGTAAATGAGAAATTGAAACTTGAAGATGGTACATGTATGACAAATATAAGATACTACAGAAGTTTGATTGAAGGTTTGATTTATCTAACTCATACTCGACCAAATATTACATTCTTTATTGGTGTAGTATCCAGGTTTATGCATAGCCTAAGCAAACATCATCTCGGAGCTGTTAAAAGAATTCTACGTTATATTGCTGGAACTACAGATTATGATATTTGGTATTCTTATAATTTTAAATGTAAATTATTTGATTTTATTGATAGTGATTGGGCAAGAGCTTTAGATGATAGAAAGAATACTTCAGACAATATTTTTAGCCTTGGATTAGGAGCTATATCTTGGATTTTTTTTAAAAAAGAAACAATTGCATTATCGATATCGGAAGTAGAATATGTAGCCGCAACATCAGTAGCTTGTCAAGCAATATGGCTTAGAAGACTTCCTGAAGATTTTCATAAAGAATAAAAAGAAGCAATAGAAATATTTTATGACAACAAAGCCACAATTGCAATGATGAAGAATCCAACATTTTATAAAAGAACGAAGCATATAGAGATACACTATCATTTCATGATCTTATAGCAAGTGGAGCAGATATCCTCACCAAGTCACTTCAAGTTCAAAAGCATATTTATTTCATGTCGCAAATCGGTGTATATAACTATGAATCAAGGGGGAGTGTTGAGAATTGATTCACAGTTGTTATCTAGGTACTTACCATGATCTAGTAGTTATTTAGGTAGTTACCATGATCTAATAGTTATCTAGGTAGTTACCATGATCTAGATGTTATAGGGTAGTTTCAATAACTAGCTCAATTATGAGTGACATAGCAGATATCCTCACCAAGTCACTTCAAGTTCAAAAGCATATTTATTTCATGTCGCAAATCGGTGTATATAACTATGAATCAAGGGGGAGTGTTGAGAATTGATTCACAGTAGTTATCTAGGTACTTACTATGATCTAGTAGTTATTTAGGTAGTTACCATGATCTAATAGTTATCTAGGTAGTTACCATGATCTAGATGTTATAGGGTAGTTTCAATAACTAGCTCAATTATGAGTGACATGGTGATACGGGTAGTTATCACTAGGCCCTATAAATAGAATCGGGTAGTTCATGAAGTAAGATAGAAAGGAGAATACAATTGAAAATATCTTGTAAATGTTCTATGTTAATATTCTTGTTTTAAATACTACATTAATTTTCTTGAATGAAAAAGATTCTTTTTACTTCGTAGTATTCTATTTTAATTAAGTTAAACTATTCTCATAATAATAATAATTTTATGGGCTACTTAGATAAAATTATTTAGAATATGATCAGAACTAATTAAAATAGGATAGCTATATTAGATAATTAGGTACGCATAACTCTCAACAAGATCGTAGGGTCTATATCGTAGTAAAGAACTGGTCAGCACTCCTATGTCTCGGACAATTACGGCGACGAAGGAAGAATTCTCCTCTTCTTGTCATCCACAATACCCCAAGGATAGAAATGGAGCGATCTCAGATCTGGTTTGCTCTCAGATGCCTAATCCTAGCTCTGCTCCTGTCTTGGGCTGTGGCCGATGACAACGTCTTTGTCCTCAGGTTTGCTCTCGGATGCCTAATCCTAGCTCTGCTCCTCTCCTTGGCTGTGGCCGATGACAATGTCTTCGTCCTCACGGAAGCCAACTTCGAGAAGGAGGTTGGCCAACGTCTTCGTCCTCAGGTTTGCTCTCGAATGCCTAATCCTAGCTCTGCTCCTCTCCTGGGCTGTGGCCGATGACAATGTCTTCGTCCTCACGGAGGCCAACTTCGAGAAGGAGGTCGGCCAACGTCTTCGTCCTCAGGTTTGCTCTCGGATGCCTAATCCTAGCTCTGCTCCTCCATTTCGTTTTGGTTTCTTGTCAATCATCGAATCCGCTATGGTCTTTGCCGCCTTGTAACCATTTTAGAACAGTTCTCTGATCCGATCGAGATACCGAGGACTCATGATGCGTGGATGTTGTCCTTTCTGCCGGATGAGGGGGCATTGGCTTGATTTCGATGGATCTTGTCATCAGCTATTATTACCATCTGATTCGCAGCTCCTATGATATCAAATACTGTTCGAGTGACTTGTACAATCTTTCGGAGATCAAGTGGATTCTTCGTTTGTGTTTCTTTCTTTTATCACTTCCTTTCGTATTGAAACAGTAGCTCCGATATGATGATGAAAAGTTAGTTAGGAGAGTAGAGTTCGATAGAGGAACTACAAAACCAGAAGCTTTCTATTTCATATATCTAGCCTTTGTTTGAATGTGCTTTTGTTGGCAGGTGCGGCCATTGTAAGAAGCTTGCCCCGAGTATGAAAAGTTTGGCTCAAGGTTTAAGAAGGCAATGTCTGTTTTGATTGGGAAGGTTAGTCTTATTCTAATTGTAATGGTAAATGGATTTAGGATGTTTGCTAAATGCTCTAGTTTTTAATTAGTTCAATTCGGAACTTGGAATTTGAAATTTCTTGGGTTTGGTATTGTCGGAGATATTACAATTTTTTTATTAACTATTTGTGCAATTTTTCATGGTTTTACTCCTCTTAGAGGGCCAAAGTAATAAATTACATTGCTTCCAATTCTTATTTATTTCTTATTTTTCTTTTATTTTTAAAGTTAAAGCATTATTAATTGGAATTCTAAGAAAAAATTTCTGATGATTAACATCAAAGTGATGTTGCAAGGACAATTTCTGATGATTAGAATGCCTCCCATTATTCAAAATGAAATTTCTGAATGATGATCTTACTATATATTTTCTATGACAAATGCTCTGAAGTTCTCTGTGATTCTTGTTCATTGTCAAAATAAGATAATTGTTTTGCTATATGACTTGAAATTTGATAAAATTATTAGTGCCATGAAATGGAGATAATTTAGGTATCTCAGATAGTTATCATAGTCAGAACAACAAATTGTACGTTTATCTTGTTCAGGATAGTATATTAATTGTGTCCGTGTTTCAGGCATGGAGTAGGTGGTTATCCTACATTGAAGTTTTTCCCCAATAGCAGCAAAGCTGGTGAAGACTATAAGGGTGGACGTGATTTAGATGACTTTGTTGAATTTATTAATGACAAGTGTGGAACCAATCGTGATGCAAAAGGTCAACTTCCATCACAGGTTATGGGGTGATAGATTATGAAGGATGATGTTTGCGAGTTTTGTCAATCAATTTTTTTTAAACAAGTGAAGCTTTAGTGAAAGAAAGAATTTATGAATGCCTCTAATGATGAACGGAAGGCAATTTTATGCTGGAATGGAAGAGGAAGTCAAAAAGCTAATAGGTTATTCTGCAAGGTACTCCATTTTTTTCTTGAGCTGTTGAAACGGTAAATGTTTTATCAGATCGGTTACTTTGTCCTACTGTCCTAGAGTTGGTGTGTTACTTCTTTTACTGTCGTTTCTTTTGTGTCTCACATACACACTTATAATAGTTCTGATTGATGATAAATTCATGTATTATCTAGTCTTTTATTATTAATTATAATGGCAAAATATATTGGGTTGACAGTCCACAAGTTCAACTCATAGTGGGCTTTAACAGTTAACAGCTGACCTATTTGAATATATTCTCAATCATCCATACAGTATTCTCATCTCAGAGCAGATCTATTTGAATATTGTGCACAGAGTGACGAAATCCTTTTATTCTAGTTATTTTTTTGAGATTATTATTTCGATTTTGGACAAAAAATTGAGATTTATATATTCATTATTCTTATAGTGGATTATCTCTAGTTTATCTATGGTTTTTACCCTTCACGTTGGAGGGATTTTTCACGTAAATCTTGGTATTATATTTTATTATAATTTCATTTAATTTCGTTACGTATTATGATATGTTAGTATTTGTTCATATATAAAAGTTTATTCTTTTTTATATCCCATCAAAATATATCATCATAGACTCTGATTAATAGAAGAGTTCTTAGCATTTTTTCTTCACTGCCGTTAGTTGCATCTCCTACCTTTTTACACCTATTTTTCATTATTATGGTACCAATACCTGTAGTCGAGATTTAGATTTTGTACGGTAGCCACCAACTTGTCAAAGCTTTATTGGAGTTTTCTGATTGTCACATACCATTCATTATGTGTTAAAAACTTTTTTCTTTTGCTCTTTTTAACATTCTGTAATTATACTGAACAGAGAAGTAAAACTGTAGGTGGTAAGATTGCTTCTATGCGAGTCTTAGCATCACAATGAAATTGCTCCTTTGTGACTTGAGGGATGAAAATTGAAGTTACCAGAAGAGTTTCTTGTCTTCTAGAGGAAAACTGCACAGGGTGACCCAATCTTAGTGGGATCCTCATGCAGTGAGCTTCAACCATATGATTGTTGTATTAGCCATCATTTACATTCCATTGCCATGAATTCTCCAAACCTCAAACAAAAGACAAAAAAGAAGACTTGCAAGTTGGAAAAGGTAATAAAAATAATCTTTTGTTTTTGTTTTTGTGTTTTTTCCTCTGATTGTGCCCAGTAACCTTTTTGATATGCTAACATGGGAAAGACTTGCATGTTTTGTATACTGTAATAGTCGATCAGTCCAGGCCTTCCAAGGCAGACGAGTTCATTATCAGGAATACTTACAGCAGGGTCTTGAGCCCCTTGTGTTAGAGATTCCGCATCTGAATTAATTTGTCTTTTTAATTCGGACCAGATCCTGTATTTTGTTATCTTTACAATTTAAATTGAGCTTGTGGTGATCTTCACGGCTAGATTAATATTCAGATGGTCTTGTTGTATTAAAGACAAAAGAGCTGGGAAGAAGCATGATATTTGCTTCCTAACTCATGTTAGTTGGAGCTCAGAATCTTAGAATCCTTTAATGCATTCATTGTTGATGTTTATCTGCTCAATCTTAGCTTCTCGAGTGCCATCGCTGATCTGAGCAACAGACGCAATAATCTTCATGGCACCTTTGTGCAAGCATGACGTGTCTTTGTAAATGAGAAACACATTGTTGGTTGGCAAGAAGTGGCATCTTACCCACCAAGAAGAAACACGAACTACTCACAAAGAGTGAGTTGAGTTCACTCTGCTACCTCTGCTTTGGGATTATATTATTAGGTTTCTTAGTATTGAGCATTGTTTTCTTATTATATTATTAGGTTCCTTCATTCGCCATACCTTGGTCGAAGATGGTGATGAGAGCTCGCTCTCTCTCGAGCAAGTTCATGGATCGCCCCTTCGTTAGATCTAAAATTTCTATCTAACAACTTGTATCTTAAAACAAGAGTAAAAGTAAAACCTTGATCAGATGTTCGTCCCTCCGAGTCCTGGCGCCAATCCTGTCCTGTTGCAGTGCTCCGGTAAGCCTTAATTTATCTTATCCACAGGTCACAACGAAGGTACAACTTGTGAGCAGAGTGATATCTCACAGATCAATTTCTGTTTATTACTGAGATTCTTGTTACGTCGGTGTTCCTTGTTGTCGTGCTGCGATTGGACTGAACAAAATATTATACTGCCACGTCCTGGTCCGAGAAGGTATTCCTCTCATATAATAATTTAGCTGATATGATTTCGTGTTCGACGCTTGTGTCGCGTGCAAAAGGACGATCTATTACTTTTACATGTGGACAGTGATGGCTGCTAACAAAAAGTTATTAATCAAGTATATATATATATATATCATCACATCATCATCTACGACCCATGATTACCCATTTTTTCAAGGGCATATAGTAGTATTTCTTAAACATAATTATCATGTTATTTTTTAGTTCGGAATAAATATACAGTATATATACGAATTCAAGGGTGTTGAGGGATACGTATGATATTTTGATCCTACTTCAAAAGAACGCAAAAAGGGTGGGGGTCATTAACCCAGCGATACTTCAACGGACGGCTTACATTGAGCCAATCGCCTGATAAGAAGGGCACGCTACATGATCCCGCGGTGGGATTCGCTTCGAAACGAAACCTCTCGCAACGATTCGCCTCTGCCTCTCTTTTGCGGCGGGGGGAAGAGTCCATTTGCCCCTTGCCTGGTTGCGGCCCTCTCGCGGTGGAAGGATCGGAGTCCGTTGCCTGGAGGTAATGGAGCGCGGAGCAGGGGCGGAGAGGCAGATGAAGTACGTGCTGGTAACAGGCGGTGTGGTGAGCGGTTTGGGGAAGGGCGTAACGGCCAGCAGCATCGGCGTCGTGCTCAAATCCTGCGGGCTCCGCGTCACCTCCATCAAAATAGGTTTTTCCGTTTCTTCTTTTCCGGAGTAACATTTTTGATCCGGAATTGCTCCTTTCTCTGTGAGAAGAATACCTTGCTTTTGGGTCTTTCCGCCTGCTCTTCTTGTTTGATTCGGCGTCAGAGTATCACGTCGTCCATGATCTTGTGCGGAATGTGACCTTCCATGATCCCTTAAATCGTTTCTTTCCTATCTTCTTGCAGAACAGGGGTTTCTTTCTTGTTCGACGTTTTGTTTTATTGTTTGGCTTTAGATTAACGTGTGGTATTCCTTTCCTTGGTTCTCAATTGAGAAGTCTCTTTCAACGTCGTTAGTTGATTTTGAAGTCCTTTATAGGTTTAGAGCATTATTCGATTGCCATTTGAGGCACTTCCTTCAGTTGTCTGTGGCTGTTTTCTCCTCTTCTCGATTATTTACTTCTCTCGAGTCTCTTTGTCTGATTCAGATTCTGTATCAGCTTAGTCGGGTTACTTCCGTCCTTACAAAATTTGATATTTATTTGATGTATATATTCGTTTTTGTGTTGTGAACTTTGCCAGATTTGATTGAGAATATTATATAACTTCTATCCGCTTTTTCTTCGCTCGAGAATATGCATTTCAGTTGTCTGCTTGTGGTTCGTCGTCTACTGCAAGCTCATATATTGGTTAAAGATTAGTCTATTGCATGCCGGTTCGTCTGTCTTTGGTCTATTCGGGTTCTACTATTTTGGAGATAACTGTATCCCTGTCTTTGAATTTGTTAGCGTTAATTACTGGTTATAATGGGGAATTGTTTTTCTTCTACCAATTTATGCTTCGTTCCTTTTTGCTGATACCACTGGTTGAGTTATATCATGTTTCCTGCTGAATTTATGTGCATTACTACTGCTGCGTGCAGATCCATACTTAAACACTGATGCAGGGACGATGTCTCCATTTGAACATGGAGAGGTTTTTGTTCTTGATGATGGCGGCGAGGTAATTTTTCTACTTTTTCTTAAAAATTAAATTTTCATGCATTGGTATAAACCATGACCGTTGCTACAAGAAGGTCCATATACCTTGTCAACTATAGTCATGGTGTCTGGCATCCGCCCTTCTCAGTTGTAGCTTTATGTACACTAAAACATGTGGTAGTTAAGGCTTGATTTCTTTGCTCTCTTCAATGTAACTGTAGTAAATTCCAGTGATACATTATTTCTAAGTTCATACATACATCAACTATTTATTTATATTTCAATTTCTGAAAGTATAAAAGAGAAATATTTTTTTGTTAAGTATCCATGTTGGTTGCTTTGGTTGTTCTGATTTTTCTTCCTTTCATTCCTTGTAACATTACAGAAAAATCACATGAAAAATGCAGTGGAATTAGTTTAATTCAATGCTTTTGTCCCTTGTTAGTTCTAAGAGCAGGTTTATGTTAATGTTGTTTTCGTTATGGTAGCCATGTTATTCTAATCCACAGTTTCTACATGTCTGACACCTCTGCTGGATGTCCTTCACTGTTCCCTTCTCTTTGTTATTATTGTTATTATCTTTTACTTTAGTAATTTATGGCAATGGTGTCGGTGTTAATTACATGTTCTAAAGAATCTAAACTGAGTCCGTCAGTTCTCTTGCTATTGTTTCTATATGATGCTCGGCATTTTGGCCAGTTTTATTGCTACTAATTCTCTTTGATGTTTGGATGTTTTGCTTACTAGCTTCTTATTATATTAATTATTTTCTGTGCTGCAATGTTTGATATGCAGGTTGATTTGGACCTTGGAAACTATGAGCGTTTCTTGGATGTCACTCTTACCAGAGATAACAATATTACCACAGGGAAAATTTATCAGGCAAGATTTTACTATGAAAATTCAGTCTATCTCTTTGGATATCCTTGGGATTCCTAATAAACTGATATGCCATATACTTTTTCAGTCTGTCCTTGAGAAAGAAAGGAAGGGTGACTATCTTGGAAAGACGGTCCAGGTGAAATATCATGGAGCTTACTTATGCTTAAATGCTTTATATATTCATCTCCGAATTTCTTAAATTGCTACTTGACATTAACACAAACTGCTTGCTATCATGAATCCCAGGTTGTCCCTCACATCACTGATGCCATAAAGAATTGGATCGAATCAGTGGCAACTATACCTGTTGATGGCAAGGACGGTGCTGCTGATGTTTGCGTAATAGAATTAGGTGGAACTGTAGGTATGATATGAAAAATGTTTGTTAATGTTTAGTTTTGACTCTGCATCATTTACAATCAATTTTGATGTTCTTGGACCAACAGAACTGTATTGTGTGTGATTCAGGTGATATTGAATCAATGCCATTTATTGAAGCTCTGCGCCAGTTGTCTTTTTCTGTAGGTAATTTGGAAAGCATTATTCATTTGTATTATCACATAGGTTTTACGATATTGCTTGTCTGAGTCAACTTGATCATAACAATTTCTGACTTCTATTTTTGGTATATGTTGGTGTTATCATTTTTCCGTTTCTGTTGGATAACATTGTTTCAGTTCAAGTTCCAAAAGTTTGGTCTTCGAACAAAGGAAGAGAAAGAAATAAATCATATTGAGACAAGCGTCACCCTTTGATATTGTTCAGGATTGTTGAATATACAGTGTTGATATTTCTTAAGATGAAAATTAAAACTTGACATTAATAATTAATTAATGTTTGGGAATCATGAGACCAACAGACCAACAGAAGACCAACCGTGGTTGGAGTTAAGTTTGAAATGTGCTTTTATGTCTGATGCAGTTCTTATGTATCTCATAAAACTTGTTCTTTTCAGGTAAAGAGAATTTTTGTCTCATTCATGTGAGTCTTGTGCCAGTACTTGGTGTGGTCGGTGAGCAAGTAAATATCCCTACTTGCCCTTGTTTGAATTGATATTTTATAAGAAAAAAGCATCGCTGCAAAATTCTCTCCAGATGATGCAACTAAACTAGGAACTGTACCCTGAATAATTTCTGTGGTTGATGTTCAAAGTTACTGATTTTTTTTTCATTTTAAGAACAATTTGCTCTTATTTGCTGACGTAATTTATAAACTTACATTATATTCATTATTTATATGTAGAAAACAAAGCCAACACAACACAGTGTACGAGAACTGAGGGCTTTGGGTTTGACTCCAGACCTACTGGCATGCCGGTCTTCACAGGTAATTTTATATGTCCAACTAGCAAGACAAATTGGATATTGCATATCATGTCATTTGGTATCTCTCTGTTGCAAAACTTTAGATACAGTTGTTTCATTTGATGGAGTCTATCAGACACTATATGTTTGTCCATTGATTTACCGTGTTTCCACTTTCTTGTTCCTGTCTCTGGAACAATATCATTAAATTGTCACTAAGTTATCCCGTAAGACTGGGATTTTATCACGTAGTTTCTCCACTGTCACTAAGGATTATTGTACATATTGTAAGTACAGAGTTAGCACTTACTCTAGTAACTCTACCTTTCTGTCATTTAGTGTGAGTTTGAAAATCATGTAGTGACGTAAAATTTTTGGTAAGTCAGACTATAATGTTTTCTTATTCTTACTAAACCATCAACATTGTACTAGCACTCTTTATTATAAGTTTTTGGGGATGTTTTTCATTTTCTCTTAATTGGTTAAGTTGCATGTTATCCTGTAATTTTTTTTGGACATCATGTTTGTTGGGTTATCTGTCACAGCATTTACAGTATGCTGCCATGTTCATAAATTTGACTTCGTTTTGTAGTTTTTAGAAGTTCTACAAACATCTTAATTAAGATGTTGGATCTCCCCAGATTTTATTTTTCTTTTTTATTTCATTGTGTAATGGAGAGCCTCACAATTGACTTTGGTTTTTGTTAATTTGCAGCCTATACAGGAAAATACAAAAGTCAAACTGTCGCAGTTTTGTCATGTTCCAGTGAGTCTTTGCTTGGAAGTGCTTATAATATTTAACATCTGTTGTTCTCACTGTTGGAGTTTATATGCATCTTCAGGTTGCTAACATCCTTAATATCCATGATGTTCCGAATATTTGGCATATCCCACTGTTACTTCGGGTTAGTTTAATAGCTGTAACCAAATTTTATGAACTTGACGATTTTCAATTGAATGATCTGCATCAAATCAATTAAGAAAATTGTCTTGATTTTTGTTCTTCTATTTCAATACTGATTAATGTGTTTTCTCCAGAACCAAAATGCTCATGAGGCCATTATAAAACAGCTGAACTTTTACAGGCAAATTATGCATTTTATTATTAGCTATTATTGGTTTGGTTCCGTGCATATTTATGTTGTAAGCAATCCATTTACATGCATCAGACATGTTGGATTGATTCTGGAAGCTTTATTTCAGCATGGCTACTTCCCCCGATTTAAAGAGTTGGACAGAGATGGCAGAGACATATGAGAACCTAAATAGCACAGTGAGTATTATTGACCTCCGATCCTGTTTGCTGGCCTGCTTCACTTCTCTTCATACAACTGAGCACTGTTCTCTGTTCTTTAGGTTAAGATTGCTATGGTTGGAAAATATACTGGTCTAACAGATTCATATTTGTCAGTGGTGAAGGTGTGTCTAAAACTTTTCAAAGCCAGCTGTTTATTTTTCATTGACTTGTCATTCTACACGTGTGCAACTTTATTCATATTTGTCAGTGGTGAAGGTGTGTCTAAAACTTTTCACAGCCAGCTGTTTATTTTTCATTGACTTGTCATTCTACACGTGTGCAACTTTATTCATATTTGTCAGTGGTGAAGGTGTGTCTAAAACTTTTCACAGCCAGCTGTTTATTTTTCATTGACTTGTCATTCTACACATGTGCAACTTTGTGATGCTTCTGCAGCCTTTTGTATAAATAAGTTGCCTGATTAATTTAATTACTGCTGCTGGTATGATACCTTCAATTTGTGATCATACTGTCAAGTTTAATGTAAAGATATTGGAGATCTTCCAAGTGTGAATGAACTGACAAAACTATGGCTATGATTACTGTAATAGGTTGGTCTACATATACCTGGATATGGGCAAGAACTTTTATCCTATCCTTGGTATTGTTGTATGCACTAAATTTATTGCTGATGTTCTGACTCTAATCTCCAAATGGAGTGACCATGGTGCATCACTGCTTCCATCATGCTTTCCTTAAACTCTTCATCGAGCAAGATTGGCAAACATGAATTTAACCTTTTGGGAATTTTTTTTATGCAAACATTGTGGAATACGGGTTTTATTCTCCAACTCAGATGCTTGCCAGATAGCAGATTAGTCATGTTGCATTGGCATCCATCATGTGGAGTTAAAAAAGGTTCTATTTTTTCTTTCTTAATTGTAATTTGTTTGGGCAAGAATGAGTTTGATGTGCTATGATTGTGGTACTAGTTGTGTATATAGCAACATGGACTGCCTATGGAAACATTTCTTTATGAGGTGAAACTCATGCTCTTGATCCATTGGACAGAAAAAATGAAAAGAGTGTTAATAGTAATGATTTTGAAGAACCTAATTAGACTATTAGATGGACTATGTGGGTTCAAGCTTTAACATCATTTGGCTTGTATAGTTTCTACCTTGGATAATCTTTCCTATGAGATGTAGCAAATGAGTCATGACTCTACCAAACTATTCTAACATGTGAGATTGGTGTAGGATGTATCATCCTTTTCATCTTATTAGCAGGGAACTTCTTGTGGCATCTAGGTAATTTACAAACATCAATATGAACCTACCATGATTATCCTTTATATTTGCAGCTCATGTTTGCATATTCTTAGTGTTTGACATATATTTTTTGCACTCTTATTGAGAAAGGATTCTGTAAATACCATACTTTGATTTTTCAATTGCAGGCCCTTTTACATGCCTGTGTTGCTTGCTCATTCAGACCATCAGTTGAATGGATTGCAGCCTCAGACCTTGAAGATGAGAGTGCACGTGTGGTATAGATTGTGTAAGATATTTGTAGTTGGTTATCTACCATCACGCTTTTGCCTTAGTCTTTTCTTTTCTAATGTACAGACACCAGAAGCATATGAAATGGCATGGAAAGCCTTGAAAGTAAGACTTAATTCTCTATTGCATTTTTTCAGTTGAGCAAATTTCATCAAGCATCTTAGTTATGTTCTATGCTCGTTCCACAGTTCCTACTATCCTCCTCTATGCTTACATTGCAAAGCTGTTTGTCAATATGAAAGTATAGGGTTCTTCATGCATTCTCGTTCCTGGTGGATTTGGTGATCGTGGAGTGCCAGGAATGATATTAGCAGCAAAATATGCTAGAGAAAACAAAATTCCATATCTTGGCATTTGCTTGGGGATGCAGATTTCTGTGATTGAGATCTCCAGATCTGTATGTTTCCCTTTTGATAATTTTCTGTTTCATTGTAGTGACAATAGTTGTCCTTACCTTTTATTCTCTTGCTCTCCTGCTCATTTAACTGAATATTGACTAGATTCTGGGTTTGGAAGGAGCAAACAGTGAAGAGTTTGACCCTCAAACACCACATCCTGTTGTAATGTTCATGCCTGAGGTATGTCAAGCATGGATTCTCTATCGAGACACAAAAGGAACTTGAAACTCATCATTTTGTCACTGTATGCAGGGTTCAAGAACACACATGGGGAGTACAATGAGACTGGGGTCTCGGAGAACTTTCATCAGGAGTCCTGATTGTATTACTTCAAAGCTGTATGTCACTTGTAACCTTTGACTTCTAAGCAATGTATTTCATGAGTTATTTGATAGACCAAGCATTACATTAAGTGTGGGTACTACAGTATTTTAAGCACCACACATTTATCTGAAGGCATAGACACATCCATTACTGTCAAATAACCAACAATTTGTGCTTCTTTTTTGAATAACTGTTTGATAATCTTATGTTGACAATGCCTTTTCAATTTTGTTAACTAAAAATTGTGTGAATGCTAGCTACAAAGGTTCTGCATATGTGGATGAACGGCATCGGCACAGATATGAGGTCAGCAATGAATATAAGTTAGCAAAATACATTGTATAGTAATTTACGTTTCCCTTGCTGTTTTACTTTGATCAATGTGTATGTAGCAATACCTTCTCTATCTAGCACTGATGAATGTGTGTTTTTGCAATCCCCATTCTCTGATAACGAGGTATATGTAGCTATATCTGTATATGTTAATCATGAAAGCACTATCAATTGCTCAGATAACTATGATTTCAGCCGTTGTCCAGATAATTGTTGACAACCACCTATCTTTTGTAAATACTGATACTGGTATGGCCTATTTCAGACCTTGGATTAAAAACTTGTCATATGTTTAGCATGTAAGACCTCTTGCCAGTGAAGAGGCCTGCCTACTACCAAAGCTCTTGCTTTTGTGTACCTTTGTAAACATTATTCAAGTGTCCTGGGAGAGAATGTGGAGGATACAAAATTCACAATCTATTCTTTTACAATGGAGTAGTAGTTACACTTCACATCTTCCAATAATATTTGGTGCTTGGCAACCAGATATTATTATACATCTTTATTTGGAATGCTACAAAATTGTCTGTGTTTTAACATGGCATAGAAAGGCTCCTTGTTCAGTGGGTGACATTTGTAATAACTCATATTTGCTACACTCCATAAAGTACATATGACATCTAACTGTTTTCTTAAGGTATTCCATTTTTGGATAAGTGATACTATACACTTGTAGGATCATATTACATCCAGGAAACCAGACTTGATATCTCCCTTTTTCTCTTAGTGTTCTGGAAATAATAAGTATTTAACTCAGCTGGAATTTTGCCTAAATTTTATTGTCTCAAGAGATACATTAAGTGTCATTGATTGTTTTAACTATCAGCATCATGCTTCTTTAATGTCTTCCTCTCTATGCAATAGGTAAACCCTGATTATGTTGGCAAGCTGGAAAGTGCAGGTCTTGAATTTGTTGGCAGTGATGAAAGCGGAACAAGAATGGAGGTATGCTGCTAATTATTCAATTTTGTTCACATTGTGCGATGTTGTGTTCTGATGATAAGTTATTCCTTTGTATTATTGAGCAGGTTGTAGAGCTTCCAAGTCATCCCTACTACGTCGGCGTGCAATTTCATCCAGAGTTTAAATCAAGACCTGGAAAACCTTCTGCTTTATTTCTAGGTAACATTCTGTTTAACGGTCCAAGGGCTAATTAATCTCTAGGATATAATATGTCTACACTGCACACAGCTTGTTTTTTCAATTTTATTTTCAGACAACAAATTTGGAACTCATCCAACAAGAAGACTGTATAGTGAATGGCTATAACGCCAGCTTCTTGAGCATATGTTAAATAATCAGATCAGCTTACTATTTCAGCTGAAAAATCAAAAGCAATTTTAAAAGATGGTTTTGATACCAGTTGTGACTTTTGAAGTCGTAATGCTCATTCGGCACTCAGCTGAGTAGCAGATGATAGTTGATTATGAAGGCTTGCATAGATTCATTGATTTTCCAAAGCAACATTAGATAAAGCCAAGTCTGATATAAATAGTTCATCCTCTGGACTGCAGGTCTTATATTGGCGGCGACAGGTCAACTGCAGCCACATCTAAATAGGATATGAGATCACTCTTCACTTCTTGAGGTATAATATGGGTGATGAGATTTTGATTTCTTACTCTCACAGATCTGGATTGCAGAATGTGTGGTTTAATTTAATTAGGCCTTTTTAAGTTTTATAGAAAAGCATATGGAAACTCGAGTCTATAAAGCAGCGGTGCTGTGCTACCTGTTTGTTGGCTGGCTGGTGTCAAACAAGAGGGTAGTTTTTGCCTTGTTAAATTGTGTGAGCATCAGCAACAAAAAGGAAAAAGAAATTGTTGGTGGCAAAATAACATAATACATAGATAGTCCTTTGTCATCATCTCTTCTTTTATTATTTTTATTATGGTCAGACCATATATGTTCTTCTTCTCCCTTTTTTCCTTTATTTTTTTTGTCATGTCGCCTTCACGCGTTCCCTATTCTTTTTAGCCTCTTCGTTCCTCTGAAATGCTACGGTCGCTCGAGGAAGCTCTCCATTTGGAGGGGGTCATTAAATTAATGGTGATGGATCCAAACCCCTTTCTTTTTATTAGGGCTCTTTGAGAGTATGTATGTGCTGCGAGTGTGGTTCTCTGCGTCAGGTGTCGCACTCTATGGATCATGTGTATTCCCTCACCTTCTGTGGGTAACCTGCACTCTATGGATCATGTCTTATGCCCATTTAACAAAGGAGACACCCACAATCCATGCCAAAACATATATTTTGTGTCATCTATTTTGAGTCTTTATAAACATATATATTCAGCTGTTCTAACTTTTTGGTTAAAAATGTAGTATATAAAGGTGTTCTAATTTTTCTATTAAAAATGAAGTATATACATGTATACTACAAGCAAGCAAGGATTCTAGAAAGATTTTTCTTTTTTTGGGTGAATTCTCGAAAAATATTTTTAGTTTTTAGAAATTTTCGCAAAGCGAGAGTCCTAAATTTTTAAAATGATAAAAAGTAACTCTCAAATAATTTTTATCTTTTTCGGTCGTTATTTTCTCCCGCTCATTAAAAGCTTATATCTTCTCTTTCTACCCTTTTAGTAAATCAAACCATACAATTGAACTCAACCAATCTAAAACTACTAAAAATCGGTTTTATATATATATATTCTTAAAATAATAAACAAACACATAAGATATATTAAATTATTAAAAATAATAAAAATAAAACAAAAAATTTAAAACTAATTTATCTAACTATAAAGTCAAGAGTAATATAACAATAATATATTACCATAAAATAAATTTGAAAGAAATATATTACCATTAATTTTTTATTTTAAGTTTTTGAAAATAGTTTATGGACTAATTTTGTCACTTAAGATTTTAAATTTATACAAAAATATTGAAAAATATATATTATCTTAATATCAAATATAAATTATATTGAATCATTTAGTGATATGTAAAAAATAATAAAACAAAAATATAATCAATAATTTTTTTTAAAAAAAATTAACTATAAATTAAAGAATATTATAATAATAATTATGTATATATATATATATATATATATATATATATATATATATATATATATATATATATAATATAAAGGGTTTTGATTTTGTGAACCAAATTTTTAGCATAGGTTTATCACCTATTTAAAATATCAAATGTTAAAAAATATTACATGGATAGATCATTTTTGTGATAACTAAAAAATAAAAAAAAGGAAAATTCAAACCATTTAAATGCTAAAAATATTAGGAAAAAATAAAAAAAAAATAGAAAATAGAAAAAGTATCATGAATGTTAATCTGGGTGTCATTCAAAGGAACATGAAAATTTCACAATATTTTCACTGATCCTTGCACCAAATTCACTAACTTTAAAAATAAAAAATATAAATTAGAAAAAAAAATATGATAGATGCCCATTTGAGTCCAATTCAAAGCTTTTCTAAAAGTCTTAAAGCATTTAGACTGTGATACTACACTATTTTTAGTTTGACTCCAAAAATAATATATTGGATATCATAACTTAGATAAAATGGGAAAACTACATATTGTTCATATTCTGAATAACTTTGAGATATATCAAAAGATTCTCTAAATTAAAAAAAAAAAAGTGTTAGATGTCCATGGGTCCAATTCAAAGCCCTTGTGAAAATTTCAGATACTATAGACTAGTCCTGTATACAATACACTATTTTGTGTTTGATCCCAAAAATAATATATCATATACGAGTTGATTTTTTTAGACCAATATTTTCATCATAGGTTGTTCATCTATTTAGAAGCTCAATGTATATCTATTCAAAAGTTTAAATATTAAAAAACATTATATGGATCCATCATTTTTTGTAAAAATAAAAAAGGAAAACCACTAATTGTTTAAATTATAAATATATAAAAAATATTAAGAAAATTCTATATTAAGAAAAGGGATATATGTTTACTTGGGTCGAATTTAAAGTTTTTATTAAAATTTTAGAGCATTTGGACCAATCTTTATATGACATACATTTTTTTGGTTTGACCACAAAAATTGTGTGTTTTATACCATGAGCTAATATTTTTAGATCAATATTTTATCATAGTTTGTTCTTCTCTTTAGAAGCTAAAATATTAAAAAGTTACATGTTTAGATGGAAATAGAGAAAAAAGAAAATAAAAAACAGTGCTGGATTCTATATAAATCAAAAAAATTTCAAAAGATATGTCCATCAAAGCACAATTCAAATCTTTCATAAAAATTGTTAAAATTAGAAAATTGAAGAAAATAGGAGTGATATATGTCTATCTTCAAGTTTTCATAAAAAATTTAAAATCTTTGGACCAAATTTTTATCATAGGCTGTTCATCTATTTAGAAGCTTAAATGTCATAAAATATTACATAGATCCATGGATCCAACATATTTTGATGGAAATAAAAAAGAGAAAATAAGAAAATTACATATTGTTCATATTATGAATAAATAAAAAATATCGAAAAAATCTCTAAATTAGAAAAAAAAAAATGATAGATGTCCAATACAATATTTTTCTGAAAATAAAACATTTGGACCAATCCTGGCATTTGATATACACTATTTTTAGTTTGACCCCAACAATAATGTATCAATATGATGGCTTAATTTTTGGACCAAATTTTTACTATAGATTATCAATCTATTTAGAAACTCAAATATCAAAAAAATATTGCATGAACCTATCATGTTTTAGTGAAAATAAAAAAATATGAAGAAAATTAAAAAAATCATAAACTGTATCAATTATGGGTCTAATTCGAAACTTTCATGAAAATATATAATAATTTGGACACATTATTTTTGGTTTGACCCAAAATCAGTATATCAGATATCATGACTTTTTTTTATCAAATTTTTACAATAAGTTGTCTATTTATTTAAAATCTTAAATGTTAAAAACATTACATGGATCCAACATATAAACTGTGAAGGACAGTTATCAAATAGTTATAAACTGTATCAATTATGGGTCTAATTCGAAACTTTCATGAAAATTTATAATAATTTGGACAAATTTTTTATTTGACCAAAAATAGTTATCAAATAGTTATCAAATTTTAGTTGACAGGAGTTCTCCCCGAGGGAGAACCTCCAACCGGCCTCCCTTCCATCGAACCAGAAATCCAAGCTCTCCCCGCCCCCGGAGACGGGGGGATCCCGGCTTCGATGCCAGATCGCTACTGGCGTTTGTTCAACGACCCGGGGTTGTTGCCCTCGGGGCTCGCCACAAGGCCCTCGGCCGTGACAACCGAGGCATTCCTTAGCCTTATCAAGCAAGTGCATGCCATGGCGGGCATGATGCAGTTGCTCGCTCCAATCATTCCTTAGATCGTGCGTCTAGGGACCGGAGAAGCCCGAGAGCAAGCAACATACTCGAGAGGTCCGCCCGAGCAGAGCATACCCGCACCCTGTCGAATCACACCGCCCCACTCCGACCCCGACACCATATTGTCCGACTCAGCGGACGACTCGTTCATGATCCTGGGACAACCAATGCTTGGATGAGTTCTAGCGAGTTCCAGAAATCGCGATGCGAGTCAAACGAAGGCAGCTCAAGCGGATCCCCTTTCACTCAAGAAATACAGGACAAGCCTATACCCCTCAACTTCAGGCTACCCGCATTGGAGACATACGACGACGGCTTCGACCCCACGGAGCATGTCGTCGTGTTTCGGGCTCAGATGGCCCTCTATGGCACCTCCGATGCACTGATGTGTCAGGCATTCCCGACCACCTTCATGGGACCGGCATGAGCGTGGTTCAACCGGTTGCGCCAATCCTCAATCGCATCCTTCGACCAGCTCGCCAGGGAGTTCAAGCAGAATTTCCTCGCCAGCATGCAACCCAAGCCTTCCATGGCTACCTTGCTCGCGTTATTTCAGCGCGAAGACAAGTCGCTCTCTTAGTTGTGGCACATTTCACCACTGAAATCTGGGGATTTTCATACGCTCACCCCTCTCTAATCATGCAGGCATTTTTTATGGGCTTGAAGCCTTCAAGGTTCTTCTGGTCACTAATCGAAAAGCCGCCAGTAACCATCCCTAAGATGCTCCAGCGTGCCAACCAGTACATCGCCGCCGAAGCTCTGGTGGTAGGAAAGTGCATAGGCAGCAAGAGGCCAAGGGCGGAACAATCCCGGAGAACGACTTCAGCAGCTCCGATGCAACCCCGCTAGAGGCCCGTTTGACAAGAGCTATAACTCTCGAGGCCCTCTCCCTCTAAGCACGTTCCACCGAGACTATGGCCACGGCACAGAAGATTGTCGTGACCTCTAGAATCAAATCAAGGACTTGATCCAAAAATGTCACCTTGGGTGCTATCTCAAAGAACCCCGAGAAGCAACTCCATGTCTTAGGGGACCCATCGAAAGACACCTCGTCATCCAAAATCTCCTGCCGAAAAGCCACTCGCGACAAGAGGTCCACAAGCTCGCCAGATCGGTTCCCAACCTGCGGCTCGCCGGCCCAGCTCTTGCCCGAGCCGCTCCAGATCGGTTCCCAACCTGCGGCTCGTCGGCCCAGCTCTTGCCCGAGTCGCTCCAGATCGGTTCCCGACCTGTGGCTCGCCGGCCCAACTCTTGCTCGAACCGCTCTAGATCGGTTCCCGAACTGCGCCTCGTCGGCCCAGCTCTTGCCTGAGCCGCTCAATATCGGTTCCCGACCTGCACCTTGCCGGCCCAGCTCTTGCCCAATTCCTGACCTGTGGCTTGCCAACCCAGCTCTTGCCCGAGCTGCTTCAGATCGGTTCCTGACCTACGACTCGCCGACCCAGCTTTTGACCAAGCCGCTCCAGATCGGTTCCCGACCTATGCCTCGCCGACCCAGTTCCTGCCCGGGTCACTTCAGTTC